TTAAAAAAAAAAAAATAATAATTGCTATTACTTTTTGAGTCTTTGACTAGCTGTACTTCAAATTCTTTTTTGGCCTTCCTAATTATATTTTTACACTTCATTTGCAAGAGTTTATGCTCCTTTTTATTTTCCTCACTAGGATTTAACTTCCACTTTTTAAAGGATGCCTTTTTGCCTCTCACTGCTTCTTTTACTTTGTTGTTTAGCCACAGTGGAACTTTTTTAGTTCTCTTACTATGTTTTTTAATTTGGGGTATATGTTTAAGCTGAGCTTCTATAATGGTGTCTTTAAAAAGTTTCCAGGCAGCTTACAGGGATTTCACTTTTTTGCGCTGTACCTTTTAATTTATGTTTAACTAACTTCCTCATTTTTGTGTAGTCCCCTTGAAATTAAATGCTACAGTGTTGGGCTGCTGTGGTGTTTTCCTCACCACAGGCATGTTAAATTTAATTATATTATGGTCACTATTACCAAGCCGTCCAGCTATATTCACCTCTTGGACCAGATCCCATGATCCACTTAGGACTAAATCAAGAATTGCCTCTCCTCTGGTGGGTTCCAGGACTAGCTGCTCCAAGAAGCAGTCAATTAAGGTGTCAAGAGACTTTCTCTCTACATCCCATCCTAAGGTGACATGTACCCAGTCAATATGGGATAGTTGAAATCTCCCATTATTACTGAGTGGTTTTTTTTTTTTTATTTTAATAGCCTCTCTAATCTCCCTAAGCATATCAGTCACTATCACCATCCTGGTCAGGTGGTCGGTAATATATCCCTACTGCTCAGGGGTGGGCAAACTATGGCCCGCAGGCCGCGGCCGGCCTCGAGCTCATGCTGGGGAGCGGGGTTGGGGGCCGCTCTGCATGGCTACCGGAAGCAGTGGCAGTCCCCCGTTCGGCTCCTACGCATAGGGGCAGCCAGGGGGCTCTGCTCCGCACACTGCCCCTGCCCCAAGCGCCCTCCCTGCAGCTCCCATTGGCCGGGAACCGCAGCCAATAGGAGCTGCAGGGGCGGTGCCTGCGGATGGAACAGTGTTCAGCAGAGCCGCCTGGCCAGCCGGAGGGGAGACATGCCACTGGTTCCGGGAGCTGCTCGAGGTATGTGCCAGCTGGAGCCTGAACCCGAGCCACCCTGCTCCGCCACAACCCCCTGCCCCAGCCCTGATCCCACCTCCTGCCCGCCGAACCCCTCGGTCCCAGCCCGGAGCACCCTTCTGCTCCCAAACCCCTCACCCCAGAGCCTGCACCCCCAGCCGGAGCCCTCACCTCCCCACCCCAAACCTCCCACACACACCCTGAACTCCTCATTTCTGGCCCCACCCCAAAGCCCACACCCCCAGCCAGAGCCCTCACTCCCTCCCGAAACCCAACCCCAATTTCGTTAGCATTCATGGCCCGCCATACAATTTCTATACCCAAATGTGGCCCTTGGGCCAAAAAGTTTGCCCATCCCTGCTACTGCTATATTCTTATTATTAGGGCATGGAATTACTATCCATAGAGATTCATTTAAGTTTGGTTCATTTAATACTTTTACTTTATTTGATTCTACGCTGTCTTTCACATATGCCACTCCCCCACCAGCACAATCTGTTCTGTCCTTCCGCTATATTTTGTACCTGGTATTACTGTGTCCCATTGATTATCCTCATTCCACCAAGTTTCTGTGATGCCTATTATATCAATATCCTCATTTAATACGAGGCACTCTAGTTCACCCATCTTATTATTTAGCATTTGTATATAAGCACTTTAAAAACTTGTCACTTTTTAGCTGTCTGCCATTACACGATGTAATTGAATGGGACTTTTTGTCATTTGACTGTTTCTCATCCTATCCTGCCTGTATTTTATCATCTTCCATCCTCTCCTCCTTTCTAGGACATAGAGAATCTCCATTAGTAGATCCTCCCCTAAGGGATGTCGCTGTCCAAACCACGTGCTCCTCCGCACCTGTCGACTTTCCCCCAACCCTTAAAATTAAAAAGGTCAAAGAGCAGTTTTTAAACTAAGAGCAAGCAATCTGGTTCCATTTTGGTTTAGGTGGAGCCCATCCTTCCTGTATAGGCTCCTCCTTTCCCAAAAGTTTCCCCAGTTCCTAATACTGTAAATGTAAACCCCCTCCTGCCTACACCATTGTCTCATCCATGCATTGAGACCCTGCAGTTCTGCCTGTCTAACTGGACCTGCGCGTGGAACTGGAAGCATTCCAGAGAATGCTACCATGGAGGTCCTGGACTTCAATCTCTTACCTAGCAACCTAAATCTGGCCTCCAGGACCTCTCTCCTATCCTTCCCTATGTCACTGGTACCTACATGTACCACGGCCACCAGCTCCTCCCCAGCACTACACATAAATCTATCTAGATGTCTCGAGAGATCTGCAACCTTTCCACCAGGCAGGCAAGTCACCATGCGGTTCTCCCGGTCATCGCAAATCCAGCGATCTGTTTCTAATGATCAAATTGCCCATTATTAATGCCTGTCTCTTCCTAATAACTGGAGTTCCGTCCCCCGGAGAGCTATCCTCAGGGTGAAATGATACCACAACATCATCTGGAAGGAGGGTTCCAACTATGGGATTGTTTCCCTCTGCTCTCCAGTTGGATGTTCTCCTTCCCTGAGACTTTCATCCTCCTCAACAGCAGAGAGTCTGTCAGACCGGTGGTGGGACCATACTACTGTGTCCTGGAAAGTTTCATCTAGGTACCTCTCTGTCTACTTTAGTTCCTCCAGTTCAACCACTCTGATCTCCAAAAGCTCGTACACGGTCTCTAAGGGCCAGGAGCTCCTTGTACTGAATGCACACATACACCACCTGCCCATAGGGCAGGTAATCATACATGCTGCATTGGGTGCAATAAACCGGATAGTCCCTACTCTGTTGCTGGACTTCTGCCTGCATTATCTTTTTACTCCTAAAGCTCATTCCTTTGTCGTTGTTTTGTTTTTATCAGGGGGGTGTCTTTGGCTTTAAGTTTAAAAATGTTAAGCGTATCTAGTCCCCTCTCACACTCCACCTCTAAACTCCCTCGCAAAACTCCCCTGTTAGCCGCTCCTGTTCCCTAGCTCCTTTGGTCGCTTAGGAGTAGGCTTTTTAAAGCCCTGGTCTTCCTGAGTAGCCCTGCCCCCTGGTTAAGAGTTGATGGGTGCTAAAGGGCTTAGGGATCAAAGCCTCGTTAAGAAGGTCTCAGCCTCAGCTCACGGTCCCCCAAACAAACAGACCACACAGTCAAGCAGCAAGCACACCACAATCACACATACCACAAACAACAAACTTACCCCAAGGGTCATGTAATCTCTCTTCCTTCACCTGGAGAACTCCCTCGCAAAACTCCCCTGTTAGCCGCTTCTGTTAGCCTCCCTTTATTTACACACATGCCACACCACGTCACACCCCTCCCTGCCTATTATTTTCTCTCTCCACCCCACCAGAGCCCCCCGTCCACTCCAGCCAGAATCCATACCCTTAGTCTAACCTCCTTAGACATGGGTAGGAAACTGTTTTCCTGTCTCATGATATTTTCGTGATTTAATTTTTTTTTCATGTTCTGCATCAGGACAAAACTGAGATCTCTTGCAGTTTTTAACAAAAAACAAACCCCCAAAAATAACACAACAGAGAGAGATCCCTGACCTCAGAATACACCATAGTCTCGTAGTCAGGGTTCTTGCCTAAATCAGGCAGGCCAGAGACTTGAACCTGGGTCACTCATATCCTAGATGAGTGCCTTGACCACCATGCTATCGTGAGGTGGGTCTGTTTCTGCTTTTGACTAGAAGTGCCATTCTGGGCCTGAGAAAGCCAACATGTTCCCACAGAATTTTGGTTTCAATGAATTGGCATTTTCCAACAATAAAGTATTTTAATGAAAAATTCCTGGCCAGCTCTAAACTTCATGTCCTGTAGCCCTTCCACGCAGGTCCCTTCTCTTCTTATTTTTCCCAGGCAGATCTCCACCAGCCAAATTCAAAACTTATTTTACAATGAGTCTGTAAATACTTAACTTAAGACTATTAAGACCTAAAGTAAATGTGATACTTCAAACATCTTTTCTTCTAAGAAGGTTGTATATGAACCAGTAAAATTTGAGAGCCACTGATCTACAGTATTTCAACACTGCATGAAAGGGAGCTTACGATTCATCTAGTCGAACTCCCTGTGCTGTCTTAGGGTTAAGTATACCTAGACCATCCCTGATAGATGTTTGTCTAACCTGTTCTTATGCAACATGTTTGAACAGCGGTGTGAAATATGTGGTTGAACTTCAAATGTTAGTGATGGTATTAATAAATTGAAACCATGTGATTGCAAAACGTCCTTCCAGTTCTAGTTTTTAGTAATCTGTGTTAGTAATCCGTCACATCTGTGTTTATTTTTAATCATGTATCAAATTAACAAGTTTCCTATGAACTCATCTGCTAATATCTTTTAAAATGTAAATGATCAATTAACAAAATAATTAGTATTTTCAATTAAGGGGTGACACCTGTTTTACATAGAATGCTATGAAAAAACAAAATTAGCATGGATGCAATTACTTTTAAAGGTAACCTTAGTGTATTTGTTTTTTTTAATGTTTATCATAGAAATTGAGGGCTGAAAGGGACTTTACGGATTCATCTAGTCCAACTCCCTGTGCTGTCGCAGGGTTAAGTATACCTAGACCATCCCTGATAGATGTTTGTTAACCTGTTCTTATGTAACATGTTTGAACAGCGGTGTGAAATATATGGTTGAACTTCAGATGTTAGTGACAGTATTAATACACTGAAACCATGTGATTGCAAAACATGTCCTTCCAGTTCTAGTTTTTAGTAATCTGTTTTAGTAATCTGTCGCATTAAATTGCAATTATTTATGAGTTGAAGAAAAGGAGAAGCTACAGCAGTAAATTTTTATTTCTTTTCATAGTGATATTGATCATGCATAAATATCAATAAATGTTTCTGATCTCGTTGGCATGTTGTGACTGTTTCTTCTTTGTTTGTTTTTGCAGCCCTCAGATGCTTTGATATTGGGAAAGATAAAAAATGTTGACTGTGTGCTTCTAGCAAGGTAAAGAGCTCTTCAAAGGATTTTTGTGTTACTCATGTCTTAAATAAAGTGGTTTGTCTTAGACGTTTCCTTTTTCTGTCTGTGTCAGATGGACTAACTGCTTCTTATGACTAACAAATTTAGGTCTGATCCTGCAAATGGCAAAACTTCCATTGACTTCAGTTGGGAGAAGAATCGGGAGCTTAAAGTTGGTCTATATGACATAATTTTGTCCTTTATAGAGCAGTTCAGGCATCTGGAACTCTTGTCAAACACTCTCCATTCACAAACCCTAGCTCAATTTCAGCCTCCACTGGTTCAACAGAACTTTGTCACAGTGCTGTTATATACTAGGACTTTATGTAGGAGGTACAGCTGTTCTGATTCAACTAGTCCTTCCAGGCATAATTGATCCTACAATGATCCAGTCCACCTTTCAGTGACAAATACGAGCATTGTACTCCTTCAGATTTAAAATGAAAGCAGATGCAGTAGAAGGATCTGCTTTGTGGTGTTGTCCAATAGAGAGAAAATACAGTAAAAATGTATTGTGCCTTTCACTTGTAGCAAAAAAAGTTTATAACCACCTGTTCAGACGCTCAAATCATTCTGGGGTCCTTTGTAAGGCTGAAGAGTGGTCTAGAGGTGGTGGGGGTGGAAATTTGAGGAAATTTTCTCCAGCCACATTTGAGTTTAGTAAGGACTCTTCCTAGGTTTTTTGGAATTTTTTTAATCTAATTACAGCTAGTCATGGAGACGACAAACCTGGGTGAAGGTTAAAACTTTGCATGTAAATGGTTCTTAACGAGTTGTGCCATTGCTACTTTTTGTGGGGCATGTGGTTATTTTTTTGATGTTGAAAGGGAAAAATCACTCCTGTGCATGTTTAATGAGCATCTAAACAGTTCCTATAGCTTCATGAAGCATTTCCCCCTGCAATTTGTGATGTTTTACAAAGGATGTTTGGGGTACCGCACATGTTCTGCCCTGCCTGACAAGAAAGAGTGCAGCTGCTAGAGCAGGGGTGGGCAAACTTTTTGGCCCGAGGGCCACATTGCGGTTGCAAAACTGTATGGAGGGCCGGGTAGGGAAGGCTGTGCCTCCCCAAACAGCCTGACCCCCGCTCCCTATCCGACCCCTCCTACTTTCCACCCCCTGATTGCCCCCCTCAGAATCCCCTGCCCATCCAACCCCCCCGTTCCTTGTCCCCTGACTGCCCCCTCCCAAGAACCCCCGCCCCTAACCGGCCCCCCTCAGAATCTCCCACCCCCTATTCAACTCCCCCCCCATCCCCTGACTGCCCCGACCCGATCCACACCCCTGCCCCCCTGAGACTTCCACGTCTATCCAACCGTCCCCTGCTCCCTGTCCCCTGAATGCCGCCCTGCCGGTTATCCAACCTCCCTGCACCTTTACCATGCCACTCAGAGCGGCAGGACTGGCAGCCACGCTGCCCGGCCGGAGCCAGCCACGCCACCACACTGCCCAAAGCGCTGGCGGCGCAGCAAGCTGAGGCTGTGGGGGGATAGCAGGGGAGGGGCTGGTGGCTAGCCTCCCCAGCCGGGAGCTCAGGGGCCGGGCAGGACGGTCCCGCAGGCCAGATATGGCCCGCGGGCCGTAGTTTGCCCACCTCTGTGCTAGAGACATTTGCTTGAAGGAAAATGTAAATGTATCACTGTGGTTTCATCCCACACCTCAGCAAAATCATCCCGTCTAATCCTGTCCGCATAAAAAAAGAAAAGAAAATCCAGCGTTAAAGATGACTTGCAAAAGTGAGGGGTAGGAAGAAGGGGCTTGTTACCCTTTTTTCCCCAAAAAAATTGTCAGACTTTTTTCTGTTTCCTTTTTAAGTTAGAAATCTAGATATTGTCAACTCTGAAAGACACTCTGGCATCTGTAGAACTAGTGCAGTTATGCCATCACAAGGAACTGAAGGCCGAGCAGGTATGAGAGGAAAGGATTTTTAGCCAGACTATTGGAATTTTGTTTGTTTGTTTGTCTGTTTTTTTTTCTGTTGTTAATGCCTATTTAGCTCCAGTGAATGCTTGGTTGAAAAGATTACTTTGTTAAAGAGATAGGGAGAGCTGGGATGTGTATGCGTGTGCTGAAACTTTAGTGATAGAGAGAGAGCTCACATATACGTCTTCGAGACCTCCAAGAGATCCTCCAGCAAATCTAAATAAAATCAGATTTTGCATTCTGGATACAGCCCAGGTTTAATTTTTTGTAGGGCTGTCAAGCGATTAAACAAAATCATGATTAATTGCACACACTAAAGAATTAAATGCATTGTTAAACAATAATAGACTACCATTTATTTAAATACTTTGGGTGTTTTTTACATTTTCAAATATATTTATTTCAATTATAACACAGAATACAAAGTGTACAGTGCTTACTTTGTATTTATTTTTACTACAAATATTTGCACTGTAAAAACAAATGAAATAGTATTTTTCAATTCACCTAATACAAGTACTGTCACGCAATCACTTTATCATGAAAGTTTAACTTACAAATGTAGAATTGTATACAAAAAATAACTGCATTCAAAAATAAAACTGTAAAACTTTAGAGCCTACAAGTCCAATCAGTCCTACTTCTTGTTCAGCCAATCGCTCAGACAAACGTCTGTTTACATTTGTAGAAGATAATGCTGCCTGCTTCTTGTTTACAATGTCTCCAAAAAGTGAGAACAGGCATTCGCATGGCTTTGTTGTAGCGAGCGTCGCAAGATTTTTATATGCCAGATGCACTAAAGATTCATATGTCCCTTGATGCTTCAACCACCATTCCAGAGGACGTGTCCATGCTGATGACAGGTTCTGCTCGATAATGATCCAGAGCAGTGCGGAGTGACACATGTTCACTTTCATCAGCTGAGTTAGATGCCACCAGCAGAAGGTTGATTTTCATTTTTGGTGGTTTGGGTTCTGTAGTTTCCACATCAGAGTGTTGCTCTTTTAAGACTTCTGAAAACATGCTCCATACTTCATCCCGCTCAGATTTTGGAAGGCACTTCAGATTCTTAAACCTTGGGTCAAGTGCTGTAGCTATCTTTTTTGAAATTTCATATTGGTATCTTCTTTGCATTTTGTCATATTTGCAGTGAAAGTGTTCTTAAAATGAACAACATGTGCTGGGTCATATCCGAGACGGCTATAACATGAAATATATGCAGAATGCAGGTAAAACAGAGCCGGAGACGTACAATTCTCCCCCAAGGAGTTCAGTCACAAATTTAATTAACACATTATATTTTTAACGAGCATCATCAGCATGGAAGCATGTCCTCTAGAACAATGGCCAAAGCATGAAGAGGCATATGAATCTTTAGCGCATCTGACATGTAAATATCTTGCAACGCCAGCTACAACAATGCCATGCGAATGGCAGTTCTCACTTTTTGGTGACATTGTAATTAAGAAGTGGACAGCATTATCTCCCGTAAATGTAAACAAACTTGTTTGTCTTAACAATTGGCTGAAGTAGTACTGAGTGGACTTGTAGGCTCTAAAGTTTTACATTGTTTTGTTTTTGAGTGCAGTTATATAACAAAAAAACCTACATTTGTGAGTTTCACTTTCGTGATAAAGAGATTGCACTACAGTACTTGTATGAGGTGAATTGAAAAATACTATTTCTTTTGTTTATCATTTTTACAGTGCAAATATTTGTAATCAAAAATAATATAAAGTGAGCAGTGTACACTTTATATTCTGTGTTGTAATTGAAATTGATATATCTGAAAATGTAGAAAAACATACAAAATTTTTAATAAATTTCAATTGGTATTCTATTGTTTAACAGTGCGATTAATCACGCTATTAATTTTTTTAATCGTAGTTAATTTTTTTTGAGTTAATTGCGAGTTAACTGCAATTAATCTACAGCCCTAATTTTTTTATTTAAAAAATCGCGGGCGGGGGGGAGAAATCTCCCATATTTTCTTGTGCTGCTATCTTCTTTTCTATTGTGGTCTTTTCCTCTAGTTAAGTCACTGTCATGTGGGCAATAATATGCCCCTTTTATGCACTCTATTGATATATTTTACAGTTTCTCTTAGAGGTAGATAGGGTTGGGTCCTGCTTGGCTTACTCTGGTCTTGACGTCTCTCCTGAGGCTTACATAGTAAAATGTAGGATTTTGGAGTGGTTGCCATCTTCATAGTACAGTATCTAGCTCTCTGCTAAGTAAAAGCTTTTTTTGTTTTTTCCCTTCCATTCTATATACAGAATTGAGTTTATAATTTTTGAGAGTGGATATAGCACACCTGCTAATGTGTCACTATTTGAGTATGGTGGGTAAATTCTGTGTTTGCCTTACTTTGTGATTTTATTTTCCTCTTTATTTTCTTCTCTCCAAGCTCTATTGCGGCTGGATGCAACTGCTGAGTGTGGATATCACATCTGGTTGGATCTCTCCAATATTTGTTTCCCTGGGTGCTTTTTGTCTTCTGCTATGTTTCCGTTGGCCTTTTTCCCTTTGGATTCTTTTCATGGCCTTCAATATCTAGTTTATTAAAGATGAGGTCATGGAATATTTTCCAGTAAAAAGAAAAAAGATTCTATTACATAAACACAGAAAATTTGAGAGATGCTTGAATTAACACCAAAAAAAAAAAAAAATCAGTTAATTGGTTGGGGCAGTAACTGTAGTTCTTTCAGAGCTGAAGACTTTGAGGTTAGCCATATTACTTACCATGGCCCTTCATGTGATTACTGATATCCTTGGTTATTTTGGTTAAAATAAGTTATATGCTGTCCTATGGTAAGTCTTGCATTATGTCCCAGGATTTTGCCATGCAAGTCCCATTAATATTAGTGGGCGTCGTGTGGCTACCTTCCCCGTGAAATATAATACTGTCAGACTAATGCCTGTTTGTATTACTAGTTTGGGGAGACTTGGGTCCTTTCCTTGCACTCACGTTTATGTAACTATTCTTTTTTTCCCCTGCAATCTATGCCTTACTGTGTTACTATATACTGCTTTCCCTGTCCCCCACTCAACAAGAAAACTGTAGTCTGAGATACAGACATGCAAACTGGAACTTATAGTGTGTCTAATCATGCTTCTCTGTATATCTTTAAAACTATACACTAGGATTCCCAAGGACCAAGCAACAACAAAAAAATCTTAGTAGCCGTATCCTGATATTGGGTGTACACCATATTATTTTTCTTCTGCCTCGTTAGACAATGAGTGTCAAACACGACTGCCCCGTATACCTCAGTCAGTGTAGAACTTGGTTGTCTGGACTGACTGGACAGCACTGTTCAATATCCTTTTTAACATTGTGTGTTTGACTGCTCTAGGTGGTCTAAAAAATGGAGTTTATTACCATTCTGGAGAGGCTGGGTAAGCCATTTTAGACACTAGTTTATCAAACCGGGATGTAAGATTTTAGTGTAGACCTAGCCCCAGGGGTGTATCCTCTTCCAAAGAAAAAAGGAAAAATTGAATGTCATTCATCTTCCCCACCATGATTTGAAAAGATGGGGGGTGGAGGAAATACCATGTTTGTGCTGTTTTTTGAGAGGGGTGGACTATTAAAACTTCCTCGCCCCCCTTTAACTTTTTTATCTTACTACTACAGACTCTGTGAGAGCTGTGGATGGAAGGGTGAGCTGGATACTCTTCTGCCCATTTTATCATCAGACGTTGCTGGTTTTATTCCGAGTGCAGAATCTTATCTTTACTACTTATTTCTATTTATAATAGTGAAGATGTAAGAGGTGAAAGAACCCAGCTTGACTTTCAGATCCCAGATGGTGGTCATAATGCTGACAAAAAAATAACCTTTATATTTATAAAATTAAGCACATCCGGTGCTGGAGAGGAATGAGAGCGAGAATACCACAGTGTCACAGGGCCACTCTTCTGATAACAGCACTGGCACATCATACTAAAAGTAACAATGGGGGCCAAGTGAATGGAAAGTGCAAACAGAATTTTTGTGTGGGACCTTGTGCAAGTAAATCCTATAAATGGATTACAGTACATGGGAAGTTCAGTATTGTCAACCCCAGGTATTCAGAAATCATAAGATTTTTAAAAAATAATAAATTTTGGGTACTTTTTATTTACCTTCTGGGGTTTCTTACCATTAGGGTGCACTCAGGTCATGTTTTCAAGCTTTTCTCTACAACCATGAAAGCTAGAAACTTACTCTTTTTTAAAAAGTGAAAGCTGAACTTCTCACATTCACATGACTCCAAGAGCTGGTACTTTAAAAAAAACACCAAATATCCCAAGACTCATGATAAAATCCTCAGAGTTGGCAACAGTGTAAGTTATGATACAGTTCCGTTTGTAGCTTTGCTAGGCAAATTAAATTTCCTAAACTCCTGGTTGGCTTGTTGTTGTTTGTTTTGTTTGTTTGTTTAATTTAATTTTATTCATCTCACATCTCACTTCTGTCCTTGCAGGCATGGGAGACATCATACTATTATGCCAACAAATGTCAACTTCCGTGCCAACATCTGGGCATTGAAAGAAGAGGGTTGTACTCATATCTTAGTAACTACCGCCTGTGGTTCATTAAGAGAAGAAATACAGCCTGGAGATGTTGTTATGATCGACCAGTTCATTGACAGGTAAAGGAGCAACATGATGTGTTTTGTGAAGTAGAGCCATCCAATCACATTTGCTTTTAACTTAGATTGTAAATTCATTAGGGCACGAAATGTCTGTTTGTTCTGTGTTTGTACTGCACCTGGCACAATGGGGTTCTGGTCCATGACTGGAGCTCCTGGATGCTATGATAATAACAGTCAATAAACATTTAAGGCTCACTGGCATGAAGTCGCAGTCTTCAGTATTGGAGCCAAAAAGGGAAATTCTTATGAGATGGGGAAAGGCTTTTGACTTCATTTCCTGGAGGAAGTCATCTTGATGACTTTATTATTTGTATTATAGTAGCATCGAGAGGCCCCAACAAAACCACAGTGGTAGGTGCTGTATAAGCACCTAGTAAAAGGCAGCCCATGCCTCAAATATCTTACAGTCTAACAGACGAGAGAGAAAAGTTTGAAGAAAGTGAGGATTATTATGCCCATTTTACAGATGGGGAACTGAGGAACAAAAATACAAAGTGAATTGATTGAGTGGGGATTAGGCACTTAACCAGGATTATTGTATTCAAATAGCAGCCCTTGCAAAAGAAGAGTTTTATTAAAGGCATTAAACAACCTGTATTTTTGTTTCAAATGCTGTTGAAGTTTTGTCTTAGGTGGTATACTGTGTGCACTAGAAGAAATCCTGAAGCAATGTTTTCTTGACTGTGTAAGTCTAGATATGGACAAGACCCCTTTGAGAATAAGAAAAAATAGGTTTGCTTAATCTGCACTGATCAACAGTGAAGATCTAAATAACTAGAATTCATTGCCAAGGCTCAGTTCCTGTATCAGATGCGTGGGTTGCAGCAACATGCATTTAAAAACATGAGCTACTGTGTTCATGCACACAGAAGCAGTAGATATATAGGAATGGGAAGCACACATCTGATATGAGAATCTGGCCCTTGTTGCTACCAGATAAAACCACAACTCTATTCTTCTTCCTCTCCTGGACTTTTAGAAGCATAAACACAAACGTAATGTAATAATGAGTAGATTGTGCTTGTCAGTAGCCTTTTTTTTTTTTTTTTTCCTTTTCTGACTCTTCTTAGTTTTTAACTACTCAGCTTGTAGAAATAAACATATAAGCAGCCTGTGACTTAAACTTCATTAGTTTATTTTACTAGTTTCTCATGAATGATCAGATGAGAGGTGTCTGTTTGTATGAAAGGAGACTTTAAATCTTTACCCTTCAGCTCTCGGCCTGTCTGTGCCCAACTATGTGACACTGGCTTTCAAAGTATGTGGCCAAAAATCAGGGACAACACAAACTTATTTAGGGGGAGGAAATATGACATTTACAGTAATAAACAGTGAGGCTGCACTAGGACTGTGGGCTGCAAGGGTGACTTGTTCTCTGTTATGAGTTATGGCTTACTTAAAAGACACTGTTATGAAACCTTTATTTTCATTGAAAGCCTCCAACTTTGTGCTCCATTGCACCACGTAAACCTAAAGTCTGGTGCCTGACTGAGGATCGATCGCAGGGTGTGATTGTAGCTTGTGTACACATACCCCAGAAGGCTTTGCTCTAGCTAACTGGAGTACCACTATTGATGAAGCTGCGGCATCACAGACTTCAGAGCGGGCTGTACAGGCCCACCCAGAACCCTGGATAATTCCTTGGGTGGCTAGCATGTGCTGCAGCCAGTGCTGCTGTGTCCTCACTGCTCTTTTTAGCCATAGTAGCTAGATGAAAGCTAGCTCAGGCATATCTACATGAGCTACAGTCACACCCTGTGTGAATAATAGAGGAGCTTCAAGACAATGGTGAGGGTGTGGTTTTGATCATTGTGAGTGAATGTAGTCAAGTTTTATGCCAAGTGTTTTTATAAATGTATGGGAGAATTACACAGTTGGCATTTCAAATGCCAGCCTACCCGATGCTGAATGTATCCACTACAAAGAGTACAAAGCATAAGCTATAGCGCTAATCTGCAAGGAAATCAAGTGTTTGGAATAGTGTCTTTTTTATCTAAAATAAAGAGTGGGTTTTCTCCCCCACCAGTAAAACTAGCCAACTTTGCTACAAGGTGCTGAATGTTGAAGCAAACATCATAATTTGAGAGCATTTCAATACAGCCATTCTTTATAACTTCTTTTCTTTCCTGGGCCTCAGTTGTAGGGTTTTTTTCTCATGCTGGATGCTCCATCATGTGCAAAAGGAGCAATGTTACAGGCTGTAACAGATGAAGTTAACCCATCTCTGGTTACCAATCCCTGTCTCTATAATACTAGCCCTGATCTTGGAGAGCATTATCTGTGTATTAGAGATGGGCCCAAATCACAATGTTCTGAACCCAAAGTGTACAGGTAAATAATGGATCCAAGGTTTTACTTTGGATATCTACATCTGACCTGAGTGCATGTTTGTTAAATATGCATACAGTGACAACCAAGTTAGCAGATCTTATTGAGGCAGAAAAGTAAGCAACCGAGGGCATCATTTTCAAATTCAGGTGCCTACATTTTGGCACCCATATCATATTTAGGCACCTAAATAAAAGAGGCCTGATTTTCAGAGGCATTGAGCATCCGCAGCTCTTATTGACTTCTGTGGGTGTCGTTCACAAGCCTACACAGAAGAGTCCGTGGTAATTGGGCATATGAACGTGAACTTGCAGTGCTAGTAGCTCTAGGAGAGAGTTAGTACTAAGTTCTTTAAGAAAGTCTTTAGAATTATTTTTGGGGGTAGCAGACTTGGTCTCATTGACTCTGTTCAATTAATTAGACACCAATAGAGGTGTGCTGATGGATTTTTATTCTTGATGCTGACCGAAAACACGTCTATGGAGTGTTTAGGAGCCACTAAAGTTCAGTTTGCTGCAAGATGCTGATTTTACTCTGATATCAGTGGATAATGGCTGTGAAATTACTGTGTATTTTTTTCAACAGCAAATGAGGAGTTTGACATTTTGGGGTGCAATCCAGACCAGTGAGGGACTGTGTCACCCTCTCCCTGCAACATTGGGTACCTTATCATGCTTTGCTACTGTAGCTCCCACCTGGGCCACTCACAAATAGTCTAACAGCATGCAGGTCACACCCTGAGAGTCTGTGTATAGCCACAATCCTGGTCCAGCAATTCTGATTCCAGCAGCCTATCAGCAAACACATTTCAGTTATGATTTCGGCTTCTGTTCATAATTTTGAATATAATGTAGTTGCTTACATTTTACCATGATATTATTGACCATCGAATTATGAGATTTCAAATGATATCTTACAAGGCATATTTTGTACAAATATTCTTTACAGTAGTGTGTAGGGTGTGAATACAGGAGTGTATTCCGCCACACACATGAAACTCGAGCATCTGCAAAAGAAAAAAATCAGCAGAGATTTGAATTAAGATGGGGAGATGCAGGAAAACTGCTGTAGATAGGAGCTATGTAGGAAAAGATTCTCTTGCAGAAGCAGAACAGTGGTGAGACTGTGCAGCAGAGGGACCAAGTGGAGAGCAGTACAGTCAAGTGATAGGAGCACAGGCAGGGAAATAGAGACAAAGGTCAAAGAAAGAGAGTGGAACAAATCCATGGAGTGTTTGCTAATAACATTTCTGGTTACCCAAGAATCCTAATGAAGGTGTAGTGTGTACAGTGCTTTGCTTCCCAAAGAGTCCCCTTCATTGCAGACTGCTTCCTTGCTTATCATTCCAGTTTCTAACAAAAACAAAAAACTGAGAATGTTTTGGCAGATGGGGGTGTTAAAAAACAGTGTATTTAATGCCAACATTTTGTAAACGTACTGCATGTGTAACTTTTTGTGCGTTTCATCCTCTAGCAACTTAAGAATAGTCTGTGGGAAAGATCGTCATTCGTTTAGCCTAGCTTCTGGCAGTTTTACACTGCCTGTTAAGGCTGAATGCTTGCATGTCGAGGCTTGTTTTCTGCAGTGCCTTTCTTTTTAAATTGTAACCTCTTACCAAATGCCTTTGTTTGTACAATGCGCTGTTTCTTGGAAAACAAACCAGTGTGATTTTAAATATAGCGCGTGTCTAAGTGACTGAACCCGATAGGAGCCCTTTTTGAACAACTGTTTCCTGTATTTGCAGGTCATACTGTAGCTCATTTATGTGCATTTTGCTTAGAATGCAGTGTTGCCAACTGTTACAAATTTATCACAAGTCATGTGATTTTTTTTATCACCTGCTCCTTCCTTCAGGCGATTTGGGAGCAGGTTGCTGCAGTCACCTCACTCTCTCACTTGCAACAGCTCCCATTCCCCTGGCCTCTGCAAGTACCTGCTTCCCTGGCTGCACACTTCTCTCTTTTGCTGTCTCACCCCTCACTGTTCCCTGACCCCAGCAGGAAACGTCTACCCACCCCACTCCCCACACTGCCCCAAGCCCTCCCTGGTCCCAGCTCCCCTGGAGACTCTACTGCTTCAATCTTCACCTCCACATTTTGTCTATCCCCTTTGTCATTTACCCTTTCTGCCACTCCCTTCCTGCTCTTGTGTACTCAACCTTTTCCTGTCCTCCCACCTTCTCTCTTTCTTGTCCTTTTTCTCCCACTCTTACACATCTTTATTTCACAGTCACCTCTCCATTTTCCTCCTGTTAGCTACCTGGGACATCGGTATTAGTCCTAACCCATTGGGCATCCCCACATCCCTAACGATCCCTCATTCTCTAGTCTTTTAATCTTAGGCCCACCTCTTCCTCCCTCTTGAATGCCTGCTAAAAAAAAAAGTGAATACCATCAAAACATTCACCTAATGAGTCCAAGTAACCATGTGATCTTACAACTGTAACTCAGGTGCTGTTTCTCCTTTCCTCCCCCCATTATTCATTGCTCTCACTTATTCTGTCGTGCCTAAAAGTGAGACAATATAAACTCCTCAGGGTAGGCACTGTGTCTGTCTTGTTTTGTAAAGTGCTAGCAAACTTCAGGCACTGTTTAAATAATAAATTAGCTTTCAGTTATTGGTACAAATAACAGCACACTGATTTTCTCATTTCCTCCTAGGCTTCTTGC